CAACTGGGGTGGCAGCTGGGGTGGCAAGTCATTTTTCTGAGGTGGCAGCTGCCACCCCGTGCCACCCCGTAGAACCGCCACTGCTAGCTGTCTAACGTTGCATTCTCTCCTGCTGTGTTCAATGACTCAATTCATCAAGCTGTAGCTAACGTTAGCTAAGCCTATGTCAACAGAGCTCCTGGGTAACTTAGATATACCAGAAAATATTAAAATGATTGAAACCATCACTCACCAAATTCAGTCAGGTAAATCGCAGAGGCCAGGCGTGCTTTCAGCTTCTGATGGTGGTCTGGATCCCGCTCTGGTCAGCACGAGCGAAGCAAACTGCTTGTAAACCAATGATCAGGTCCCTTTCGGCACACGCACCTGTTCGCAGTTCACTGAATCTCTGGGGCTGGTTCAGAGGCCGTAACGGTACGCACCGTGGAAAACGAGACCCAATCTCTCTCAGCGGCAGTCATTGGGTCTCGTCTTCCACTCGTCACCCGACGGTGCGTACCATTACGGCCTCTGAACCTACCCACCCCCCTTAAATATTTTCTCATCGAATCTACACGATTCACATAGGTCACCTATTTTGGTTTCAAAACGGTGATTTTCATGCCTGATATTAAATGCTTTGACAATAAATACATACAAACATTTCATCTGTGGAAGCCTTGGCGCTGTAAAAAGCACGACCAATCATCTGAGCCGGCCCGGCTAAAATAATTGGATGGCCTATTTGCCTGTCAGCCTTCCAACTGTGCACAAACTTATATCGTGCCCTCATTGGTCATGTGCGCGTTTGTGGAGGGGCTCTGTACGGAAGTCTGAAGGAAGGGGCAGATTTTTTTCGGTTGTGTACTTTCAGATTCTAGCGCACTCGAGCTGGTTTTTCCATTCTAACCTTTAATAAATGCAGGCACATTTTTAGCGCCTATTCATACTAAATCGATTGTGATTTAGTATGAATAGGCGCTAAAAATGTGCCTGCATTTATTAAAGGTTAGAATGGAAAAACCAGCTCGAGTGCGCTAGAATCTGAAAGTACACNTATATATAGAGATAAATAATCATGGCAATTATAAATAAATGTCTGTTTATTCGTCGTAGGTAGTGGACAATCGTTTTTTTCAGATGTTTTGTTTGCTGAAAACACATCACTGCATCTCACTTTCAATTTGTCTTTGATTTATTTTTTTCAAAGTATTTTTTATAGTGTTTTTGGAAGTAATTCAACTTTGTAACAGATTCATTTTAGTCACTCAGTAAAAATACAATTATACAAATAAAAAAAGGCGAAACATCTCTGCTGCAACACATGAGGTGAAAGTACTAAGAGTTCCTGTTATTTTTACTGTAACTGTAATTTGTCTTAAACAACCTAACATGTTTATTTTGATAGCAGAAAGGTACAACTGTAGAGTCTTTAAGATGTTGTTGGTGAAAATATTTGGCAAAAGGGTGGAAGAAAAAAGAGATCTATCAAAATGATAGAAAGGCGTTATCTCTGCTCTGTAGACGGATATTCTCTTTTGTTTGAATTGACTCCCAAACAAGCTTAGTAGCAAAAAAGGCACAATCTAAGACTATAAATATCTTGTTGTGTCTGAGTAAACAAAAGGCATCTGTCGTTTTCTAGCTGATAGCCGCAGAGTGAAAGAGTGCGCTGATCAGTACCTTTAGATACGAGGGGTTGCTAAGGAACATGAATTCACACATAGCCTGTTTTCCTCTACAGCAGCTGCACCTCTTTAGAGCCCAGTAATGCATTCAGCTCAATCTGCCCAGGACCATGTGCGAACACACTCAACAACCGCTCTCCTGTGGCTCTGCCTAAGACAAAAGGGCCTCAACGGTGCTCTTAGATCGGGGCCATAATGAATGGCACACACACGTACAGCAGGGTGAAACACTGCCAGGGTCATTACTAGATAAACACAGATGAGAGGGAGAGGACAGAGACAAAGAAAGAAAGTGAAAACAAAGCGTGCAGATTTTTAGAAAAAGGCTGCTTGGTCTTATCAGGACTCCACAGGACATCTGCTGCTGTTGGCTTTCATCAGTTTGTTTGTCAAACAGTCCTCTGGCAATCCAAAGTGCAATAAACTGAATAATAACTCAAATTTTACTTTGACATTTTCAATTATAGCCATTGATATTTATTTTGAAGTGCGCACCTGATATTAGCCGTAATGCAGCTTAACATCGTACTCTCTAAAACAACGTGTGTGTTTTTTTAAAGTGTGGCGGTAGCTCAGTAGGTTTTGGAACTGGAGGGTAGCTGGTTGGAGTCCGAGAACGGAACAGGTAGCCCAGTCTGTGTGGGAAATGGAGGGTCGCTGGTTCAACTCCCAAAACTGACCAAGTAGCCCTGGTTGCCAGTTCTAATCCCAGATGGGACCAAGTACGGATAGTGATCTGGTACTAGAAAGAATATGTTAGAAGCAGAAATGCATCTCACATATTGATGGACAGTTTGTGCCCTAACATTTGGTGTTGAAATGTCTCCAACATAGCTGGCTGGAGCTTGATTGAAAAAAAAAACATAAAGTAACTGATACATCAGGATAAACATTGGGTTTTCCTGATGTTTATGCTGATGTAACAGTTCCTCTAATTTTAAGCGCCAGGGTTTATTTCTAGACAGTAAATCGCAGGGAGGAATCAATCGAGGAAGAAACGGACATCCCAGTCCACTGACAGCAGCTTAGTCCATAATGCAACACAGCTGAGAGAAAAGTAATGATTTGAGTTCGGAATGGGATTCTGTTTCTCAACCTGTAATCACAGTTGCTATCACTTGGTTAAACACTCCAGATGAAATATCCAGGTAAAAAAATGTGGATCATGTAGAGCCAGAGTAGACCATGAAAGTTGAGAGAAAGGGGGCACAGCAAAAACATAAATTAAACTGGCCTCGCCACAAAATACTGGAATGTTCTAACACAAATACTAAAACTTCTGGAAATCATTTAACATCCCAGAATGATGATGTATTGGATAACAAATCAAAGGAGTGTTAGATGGTGGAGGTTTTAGAAATCTCTGTCACATTCTCCAGCTCACTTATAGAATACTAATTTAGCTATTTTAAACTGGCACTTATAGCTTTCGGGAAAATCTGTGAAATTGCTCCAATGGATGTTAATTCCAGTAGCCCCTCAAGTGCTGTGGTCAAACTCATCAGCCAATCTGACACTTTTACTGGATCTGAATGTATCTAATTATAAAGTCAGTCGAGCTGTACCAAGCAAGATCACATTATTTGGCTGCTTAGTATTGGTATCTTTAACAACGTTTGAATGTAGCTGAATGGATGATTTTGTTAATATGAACGAAAGGGTTAGGGTTAGTGTGTTAACATCACTATATTTACCAGCATGGCTTCTACTAAGACTTGAGTTTACTGGTGCCGAACCAAAACTGCTTCCAGTCCACATGAAACATCACAAGGTCAAAACGTTGGTCCCTTGGTCTGAGAACTGTTCATTTTGTGATTAACTGAAGAGGATAATTTCAGTTTTTTCGATTAGTGTTGCAATCTATACCTGCATCGAGCTTTGAATTTCACCCTGCAGGGCCAAATTTGATTATGGCTGATTAGTTAATTACCCCATTGCTCACAAATAATCAGCAAAGAAGCCAAATGCAAGAACTCAGATTATGTGATATGCTATTTTCTGTGATGCTAGGTTTTTTTCAAAACTTGAAACACTAATTATAGTTACTTAACTGAACCTCCTGCTCCTAATTAGGACATTTTTGTTTCACAGTAGAGCTCAACTCCCTCTTTTTTTTCCTCCTCAGACTCCCTCGGTGGCCCATTCCCGTCCACGTCACACCGATGCCACCACAAACCCAAGAGGTGCCTGCCTATTCAGTATGGCAGCGCTGGTGGCCCCCTTCCCCTCAGCCCACTTCTCTTTCATCCTAACGCCAAGGGATCCCAAATCGTCATGGACCTCACCCAGAAGACGGTTAAGAGGCAGGCCAGTTTCTGCAACGCCATCACCTTCAGCAACAGGCCCATAGTGCTGTATGAGCAAGTCCGCCTCAAGGTACTTAATGTCCGAATGGAGAACTTAAGCTCCTTAGTGTCTGGGAGCATTTAAACTGTCAAACTATCGGACTGCTTATTATTTTACTTTAATTCAAATATGATGTAGTAGTTGAATGTCGTGGTTGATATACAGCCTCATGTCTGTCATCATCCTAGTTTTTAGTTTATCAGTTTACTTTTTTATTTTAAAAAGTTCCCCTATGATATGTCAGTTTTACTTCCTTTTCTTGTTTTCCTGCCAGTTTTATTTTGTCTCTCCTGGCCTTATTAGTTCCGACGGTTCCCCATTAGACCTTCAATCCCCTTCTGTACACCTGCACTTCATCCCCCCATTAGTTCTGCATGCATTTCTGGTATTCTTGCCGCCTTGCCTGGATAAACGCTGAAGTCTTTTATGTCAAAACTTCCTGTTGCTAGTACTCTCCTGCATATGGGTCCTTCCCAGCTCTTCTTCCTGTGAAACTGTCAAAGGGCCTTACTATTTGTATCATATTTCTTGGAAATAAGCAAATAATGCCAATAAAGCCATATTTGGTTCTCTTCTTCCTAGATGACTAAAAAGCAGTGTTGCTGGAGCGGGGCTCTACGTCTTGGTTTCTGCGCCAAAGACCCCTCAAGGATAAACCCAGACAACCTGCCCAAATACGCCTGCCCTGACCTGGTGGCCCAGAGTGGCTTCTGGGCCAAGGCCCTGCCTGAAGAGTTTGCCAATGAGGGCAGCGTTATCGCCTTCTGGGTTGACAAGAAGGGCCGAGTTTTCTACCGAATTAATGAGTCCAGTCCCATGCTGTTCTTCAGTGGAGTCCGCACAGCTGAGCCTCTCTGGGCCCTCATTGATGTTTACGGCCTGACCCGCGGAGTGCAGTTGCTAGGTAAGATTGTTAAAAAAACATAAAGTGAAAAGCTGAATTACCAACCAGGCAAAGCCAAACTACCTTGGGGACCCATACCCTTGGGGTCCCTTTCCCCAAGTAGTATCAGACAATTTGATTTACTGATTATATATACAGTCAGGGGCGCCGCCAGGGATTTTGGGCCCCATGAAAATATATCACATTGGGCCCCACCACCAGGCACAGGCCACTTTGTTTATAAATTACCTTGAGGGCCGTACCAAATGGTCTAGCGGTCCATATACGGCCCGGGGGCCGGAGGTTCCCCACCCCTGCTTTAATATAATAACATTAGTATTAATATCATAACCAAAATGTCGGTGATTAACATTTTGTTTACCTAATACAGACTCACTCAACGCTTCAAACTGTCTATCATCCAAATAGACTAAAAGCAGTTTTTTGTTTTATATAGATCATTGGCTATGTATAATTAAAATTAGATGTTAGCTTTTTGTTTTGATACAATATATATATATTTTGTATTCCAGTCTCCCTTCAAATATGTTAAGTGGCATGTCATTCAACACAATGCTGCTCACCTCCTTCAGTTGGCAGAAAAGCTGGTTCAGGTTCAGCATTATGGGGGGACAGGGCTGCTGAGCTTAGAGATGGATCTGTTGGTCCTGGCACCAGGGGGAGGGACAACTGATTTAGTATGAATAGGCGCTAAAAATGTGCCTGCATTTATTAAAGGTAGGGAGGTAAGAATGGAGAAACCAGCTCGAGTGCGCTAGAATCTGAAAGTACACAACCGAAAAAAATCTGCCCCATCCTTCAGAGTTCCTTACAGAGCCCCTCCTCCAACACACACAAACGCGCACATGACCAATGAGGGCACGA